TAGATAAGTTCTTGTAAGAAGTGCCGGACCAATTAGGCTGGAGTGGGTATGTGGGCCTGCGGGCCCCTAGAAGCAACAGCCTGTTGGACCAAGTTATCACAAGTCGAGCATGGCCCCGGAGGGTAGACCAACCCCCAGAACCATCTCCAGATATGCTCCTAATAGAACGTCGCAGTCTGACGCTCAGTTTACTCAATACCATAAATTGTCGTACTAGAATATGGTAACGGCTCGCGAAATCGACAATGTCCCGTTTTCTGTTTTGGGTCCTGTGGTAGGTTAGAATAAGGGTTAAAGTACGACAGTTTCTTGACGTTGAGAAACCTTAAGAGGACGGACTGTTTCATAACTGGACGTGTCTCGCTCCCCGCCTCTACTGCCAGTACTGCAGACTGTCAACGTCGCCAAGAAACCCTTACCTAACCTTAACTAGGCTTGACTACGCACCAACGCTTAGGTATATAAAATATTTATATTTGAAGACAAAACTGTTATTTCACACACTGGAAACCTATTCCTGTCAGTATTGCCAGACGGGTCATATATATTGGTACATAATTTGTGGGAGTGTCGTGGCATCATAGTCTTGGAGAGGAGGATGGTGAGGGGGAAGTCCTTAGCGTGTGTGCAGGCGAGGAGTCACAATAACGTGAGGAGGATGGTGAGGGAGAAGTCCTTAGCGTGTGTGCAGGCGATGAGTCACAATAACGTGGCTAAAGTATGTTGACCAGACCACACACTAGAAGGTGAAGGGACGACGACGTTTCGGTCCGTCCTGGATCATTCTAAAGTCGAATGAGAGTGGTCCAGGACGGACCAGAACGTCGTCGTCCCTTCACCTTGTAGTGTGTAGCTTGTGTGACTATAAAGCACCAGGAAGGAATGTGAGCACCATGAGCTGGGATATGAGTGCAGCCCAACCGCTTTGACCATCAGTGGATGACCGACGACCCAGGAAGGACTACGACCGTCCCTCTCCCCCTCAGTGGTCGTGGACAGGAGGACAAGCTACCACATCCTGGCGCCCCGGTCACATCTCCTCATTCACCACAACCCTAAGCAATAATGTTAAAGCTGTACGAATAATTAAATAAACGAACTAATAAGGTATATATATTTTTGTATTGCTTACAAAAGGTCTGGGTATGGATTTTGTTGGAGGAGGAGGAGGAGGGGTGGGGGGGGGGGAGTTGTGTGCTAACATGGGTCCCAGAAGCCAGCGTGCTAACACTAATGTGCTTGTATCCAAGTTTACCTTCGGCTCATAATGTTTTGCTAGCATATACGAGGCTCGGTATATATTCGGGGTAGTATATGTTGGTATATATTTCGTATAAGCACGTATTTTATTAATGCTTTCAGTAAATGGTATCGACTAACCACAATTATAGAAGACAACATATCGGGTACTTGTAGTTGTGCCATAGTGTAGTTCTTACCAAGTTGTTTAACATGTATTGATGTATTTTGTATTTAGCAGCACTTAACCTTGCCATGGTTCCGGTCTATGATCAGGCCTCCTGGTTGATAGGTCTGGTCAACCAGGCTGTTGGACGCGGCTCCTCTCAAACTAACGTATGAATCACAGCCCGGTTGATCAGGTATTCTTCAGAGGTGTTTATCAAGTTCTCCGTTGAACATTGTGAGAGGCCGGCCTGTTATACCACTTGTGTGGTGGCAGTGTTGAAAAGTCTTGGGTATTTGATGTTAATAGACTTGTCTCTTTCCATGCAAGTAATGCAACTGCTCTTCAACGGGATTGTTTTGTACACACTACCATAACCTTCTCGTCTCTACGTAAGACGATTAGCATTATAATTTTTTACTTAAATTCATCTAAAAATTTCAATGGTGTACGTAGATATATTTTTGACGAGCTAATATACCAATTTGTTTGGGCAATAGTGGCGGCCATTTTGGAAGTAATTTTTATGCACAATTCAAGTTTTATGACTATAAATTTGTTTGGGGATTTGCTTTCGAGCTGTGGAACTTGTTCTCGAGCCGAGGCTAATATTGGAAACGTACCCACAGAGCCACGGGTAATACTAACCTATGTGTGTTGATTAACTCAGGTTAGTATTAACTAACCAACATTAGTTCCGGGAATTAATGTCCCCACGGCCCGGTCTCTTGACAGGCCTTCTGGTTCCTTTTTCAACCAGGGTGTTAGATGCCACGCCTTGTAGTCTGGCGTATGTATCACAGTCTGGCTGATCAGGTATTTGTAACGTTCTCTTCTGGACACCGTGAGAGGCCGGCCTGTTTTACCTCTTATGTATAGAGGGTGTGTGTGTGTGTGTGTGTGTGTGTGTGTGTGTGTGTGTGTGTGTGTGTGTGTGTGTGTGTGTGTGTGTGGGGAACAGTCTTGGACCTTCATGTTGATAGAATAGTCTCTGCGTACGTATTGCACCTCTGCTATTAACAGGGGTATTTTGCACTTCCTGCCGTGCCTCCTGGTTTCATGTCAAGTTGTGTGCGCGCGCGCGCAGAGTTGGAACAGTCCCAATTAATTTTTGCAAGTGTAAACTGTTGTGTACATCTCTCGCCTGCGTCATACAGAATTCAGTTTGAGAAATTTAAATGTTCCTAATAATTTAGATGATTTATTGAATGCATTCGCGCAATAAAATACCTCTGCACGCTCTCCAGGTCAGTAATTTCTCCAGCTTTGAATGGGGCTGTTAGTGTGGGTCACAGATCTAGTGTCTGAGCCAAGGTGACGGATGTTCATTTGATGAGTAATTAATGTTTGAAAATGTGTGGTTGAAAATTAGTTTTGTTACACACCAAACTCCAAGTCCGGGCTTGGGGAGAAGAAGAACTCTCACAACCCCATCTAGGTACAATCTAGGTGCAAGCATTTCCGTGTCCATTGACGAGAGCTGCACAAGCTTCCCTCAATCATGGCGGGTTTCTGTATTTACTAAACAGTTTACGATCTCTGGAGCGCTACGAGGTCGTATTTGACCCCCCAGGTAACCATACTTATCGGCAAGCTCCTAGCGGTATGAATCTCAAATTAATAAGGCCAAACAAAACTGCGATATGGGTGGTTACTTAAATGGTTAAGTATAAGGTAAATGGTTACTTATCTTAAGTGGATATATCTTATCTATTACTTATCTTAAGTCAGTTAAGTGGACACTTAAGCCTTTTGCTGATTGGACACAAAATTAACTTGGATATCAGTTACATGTTTATTAAATGGTCTTACATTCTACATTAACATTGAAGCCAGCGAGTAAGAATAAGTAGGTGTGGTATGTTTCCCTCCATTGTTGTGAACCCGCGTGTGTCCGCTTAATGTGTCCTGGCGCTAGTCACTTGGCCCGCACCCTTCCTGGCTCCACCCCAACACCTCTTACTCTACTGTGTCCTCATCAAGTTGTAGCATTTATATATATATATGTGTGTGTGTGTGTGTGTATTTATATATAATATATATATAATAAAATATAAACTGAAAACTCACACTCCAGAAGTGACTCTAACCCATACTACCAGGAGCACTCTGCTGGCGTACATGATCCCTTAACCGCTCGACCAACACGACCGGACAAAAGAGGATGGTAGCCGAGGGTATTTCCATCCCCCCGCCGGCACTCGGTTCGAAATCTTAGGCATGGTATTTTATCAAATCACCTCATTCTTTGGGGCACATGTGAGGAACACAAATGCGAACAAGTCTGAATGGTCCCCAGGACTATATGCAACTGAAAACTCACACCCCAGAAGTGACTCGAACCCATACTGCCTGAAGCACTCTGCTGGCGTACAGGACACCTTAATTGGTCGTGTTGGTCGAGCGGTTAAGGGGTTTCAGTAACAACTCCACGTTAACCACACGCCTTATTTCACACTTGACTATTCAAGACTATGAAGATAGCCTGGGGTAGGGGGCGGGGGTTATAAATGCTAATATTTCTTAAAGCATTTAACTTGGGCCTGTCTTGACCAGCCTAGGTATGTCCTGTATGCCTGCAAATTTGGGTGAGGCAAGGCTCAAGCCTCTTTCCTCTAGCATTGGACAGATATATTTCAGACTTCATGACGATCGCTTTGGGGGAGGGGGGGTAAACACATTTTAAAGCATTTAACTTGACTTTAAAGCATCTAACCCGACCAACCTATGTCCGTCGTGTACCCAGACCATTCCCCCTGCAAATTTCAGAGTGCAAACTCAAGCTTCTGGCCTCCAACTTTGAATTAACAGACACTCAGGCGCAGACTGTGTGTGTGTGTGTGTGTGTGTGTGTGTGTGTGTGTGTGTGTGTGTGTGTGTGTGTGTGTGTGTGTGTGTGCGCGCGCGCGTGTGCGCGCGTTTTATTTATACAGAATTGTTATTGCAATACTATGGCCAGGTTGGAGGTGTTGCTTAAGGTGTGGTGAAGGTTGTGCTCGGTGTACTGTAGTGCATTATTGATGTAACTGTAGCCTCTCCCATGCTGGCCCGTGTGATATTGCCGTGGTACCGTTTTTATCAATACCTCCTGCCAACCGGTGCTATCCTGGTTTGACCAGTTCACTATTCTGGCCGAAACTCCGGTGCAACATTCCTTTAGGTTATTACGTGTAAATTACCGCCTTTCTGACGAGGGTGCTCATTTTAGACCACAAATTTAGACTGGTTTCATGGGACAAGGCCACTGTGGGCTAGTGTATGATACGGGCTTATGCTTTGTCTGTTGATGGGTGTGTTGCACGCCATGGGTGTGTTGAGTGACGTGTTTGTGTCTTGTGTTGGACGCCATGGGTGTGTTGAGTGACGTGTTTGTGTCTTGTGTTGGACGCCATGGGTGTGTTGAGTGACGTGTTTGTGTCTTGTGTTGCACGCCATGGGTGTGTTGAGTGACGTGTTTGTGTCTTGTGTTGCACGCCATGGGTGTGTTGAGTGACGTGTTTGTGTCTTGTGTTGCACGCCATGGGTGTGTTGAGTGACGTGTTTGTGTCTTGTGTTGGACGCCATGGGTGTGTTGAGTGACGTGTTTGTGTTTCAGGTGCAGGATGGTGGAGACGTGGGAGTACCCGCCGGCCCAGGGCCTCTACGACCCGGCCAATGAGAAAGCTGCCTGCGGCGTCGGTTTTGTCGTCAACATCGATGGCGTCGCCTCTGCTAAGGTAAGGAGGCTCCCAATATCTCGTTCTCCTTTGAACGCCTTCCAACTTTTGGTAACATCGTCATTTTCTTTATGTATCCAAGAGATTGGCAACCTTTGTGACCGTTTATTTTATTAAACACTTGTAGCTTTTGAAAATACCACAGCACAATTAGGCTACAGGATAATAGAGCAAACTAGCATTGGTGACGACGTAAGAAATCCCCTTTCCAGCAGTTATGGGTCCCCATCCAACTGTACAGTGTCCACCTGTCCTCGGGGGGGGGGGGGGGGGGTTCTACCCTGGTGGTAACCATGTTAAAACCTGCCCCCCCCCCCCCCGCCTGATAATTCCTTCCTTCTTAGATATGGTTAGATTATTCAGTACTCAACCACAGGATGTGATTAATGGCCGGCTGCAAAGACCTAATGCATTTCTAACCAGATATTACATATACAAATACTTGTATACGCACAAACATGTACACCTACATATATGGAAAATTATAACCCACTAATTTGAAACACGAGGAAACGTAGACTATATATTTCGATCCCAACCCGGAGTACTCTTGGGCAGCTTAAGTTGTCCCCGGGCTGGGGGGTCCAGGGGTCTCCCCGGGTTGGGGGTCCTGGGGGGTCCCCCCGGGCTGGGGGTCCTGGGGGGGGGTCCCCCCGGGCTGGGGGTCCAGGGGGTCCCCCCGGGCTGGGGGTCCAGGGGGTCCCCCCGGGCTGGGGGTCCAGGGGGTCCCCCGGGCTGGGGGTCCAGGGGGTCCCCCCGGGCTGGGGGTCCAGGGGGTCCCCCCGGGCTGGGGGTCCACGGGGTCCCCCCGGGCTGGGGGTCCAGGGGGTCCCCCGGGGTGGGGGGTCCAGGGGTCCCGGGCTGGGGTCTTGATACAGTCTACCTTTCCTCGTGTTTTCAAAACATTAGGTTATTATTTGTATTGATTATTGCACTTCATTCTCACCTACTTGTATACACACTCCTGCTGGTAGTGGGAAATGTTAGAGGCACATAATGGACTCAGGAACAAGACCCAAACATTTAGTTAATAGTTTCGGCTTTGATGAGATAATTGCATAGTTTAAGATGTCCATTAATAGTGAGGACATCTTGGCAGACTAACGACACCGTCACAGGGCACAACCAGTTCTTCTCTCAGAAGGAAGACAACGTGTGAAGGATCTGGCAACAGTGTGAGACAACTCGGTGCTCACTGAGCATAACACTGCAACGTTGCAGCAGTCACGGCCACAATTCATCAAACATTTACACTTCTACTTGCGAAACCTGTACATCTTTTCTCAATCACGGCTGCTTTGTTTATGCTGATTAAGCGGTTTATGAGCTTCCAAGCACTACGAGGTCAGTTATAAAAAGCTTGGGTTGTGAAGTGAACAGTTTAATAAGTGTGAAGAAAGTGGCCAAGATAGTGTTTCACCACACACGCGCGTGGTGACACACCACCATAATCTGGGCCATCTACAGTGTACAGGAAGTGTTGGGTGATCTTATCTCAAGATCACCAAACACTTCCTGTACACTGTAGTCGGCAGATTAGAGAGTTAACACCTAACATATACATGGACGACTCGGGTTCCCAAATGAGCACAGCCAAGTAAACCTGTTGAAGGATATAGTTAGGATAAGGTTATATTGATGCACTTGAAGCGTCGAGATGCCGTAGGTCACACTCCCAGAACATTATGAACATCACAGGGTCACAACTTGACAACCCCCCCCCCCTCCTCCCGTAGTGTAAGAACTATAACCAGAGCACAAGTGGAGCACAAGTGGAGGTGTTCCAAAAGACAGTTGGACAAGTTCCTGCATGAAGTGCCGGATCAACCAGGTTGTCATGGGAGTGTGTGGACCTGCGGGCCGCCTTCAGCAATAACAAATAACTTGCTTGAGGCGGGTAAAGTTCTCAAAAGACAAGCCTCCCCCTCCCTCCCCCCCCCCCAAAAAAAAGGGCTTTAGCAAAAAAAAAAAAACTCACACCCTTGCCTTGAGGTGTTACTGTGAGGGGCTTCCGGGGCTTAGCGTCCCCGCGGCCCGGTCCTCGACCAGGCCTCCTGGTTGCTGGACTGGTCAACCAGGCTGTTGGACGCGGCTGCTCGCAGCCTGACGTATGAGTCGCAGCCTGGTTGATCAGGTATCCTTTGGAGGTGTTTATCCAGTTCTCTCTTGAACACTGTGAGGGGTCGGCCAGTTACGCCCCTTATGTGTAGTGGAAGCGTGTTGAACAGTCTCGGGCCTCTGATGTTGATAGTTCTCTCTGAGTACCTGTTGCACCTCTGTTCTTCAACGGGGGTATTCTGCACATCCTGCCATGCCTCCTGGTCTCATGTGGTGTTATTTCTGTGTGCAGGTTTGGGACTATCCCCTCTACTATTGTCCATGTGTAAATTATGTATCTCTCCCGCCTGCGCTCAAGGGAGTACAGATTTAGGCTCTTAAGTCGGCTCCAGTAGTTTTAGATGTTTTACTGAGTGAATTCTAGCAGTAAAGGATCTCTGCACGCTCTCCAGGTCAGCAATTTCTCCAGCTTTGAAAGGGGCTGTCATTGTGCAGCAGTACTCCACTCTAGAGAGCACTAGCGTCTTGAAGAGTATCATCATCGGTGTAGCATCTCTAGTTTAAAAAGTTGCAGTTGTGACGGCTACTGTATTGTGTTCTTTAAAGGTAAGGTCTTCCGACATGAATACACCCAGATCCTTTACATTGCTTTTTCGTTCTATGTTGTGATTTGCCTGAGTTTTGTAGGTGGTTTCCGTTTTTATATGTTCATTTTTTCCATAGCGCATGAGGTGGAACTTCGTTAAACACCATATTATTTTCTGTAGCCTATAGAAAGACCTGATCTACATCTGATTGGAGGTTTGCCGTGTCCTCTATGTTGCCAACTCTCATAAAAATCATAGTGTCATCTGCAAAAGATGATACAGTGCTATAGGTTGTGTTCTTGTCTATGTCCGATATGAGAATGAGAAGTAGTACTGGAGCAAGCACAGTACCCTGGGGGACTGAGCTCTTCACGGTTGATGGGCTGGATTTTATTTTGTTGACTATTGCACATTGGGTTCTGTTAGTCAGGAAATTGTACATCCATCTTCCTATTTTCCCGGTAATTCCTTTTGAACACATTTTATGTGCAATAACACCATGGTCACATTTATCAAAAGCTTTTGCGAAATCTGTGTAAATTACATCAGCGTTTTGTTTGTCTTCCATAGCATCTAATGCCATATCATAGTGGTCCAGCAACTGCGACAAGCAAGAGCGCCCTGTTCTGAAACCATGTTGTCCGGGGGTTATGGAGTTGCTGTGATTCCATGTATTTTGTGATCTTACTTACTTAGCTCTCAAAGATTTTTATGATGTGCGATGTTAGTGTTATCTGTCTGTAATTTTTTGCCTCTGCCTTATTTCCTCCTTTATGGAGTGGTGCTATCTCTGCTGTTTTTAGTGTCAGGGATAACGCCAGTATCTAGGCTTTGTCTCCACAGAATGTGAAGGGCCTGAGAGTGTTTTTTTTACAGTTCTTGATGAATATGGAGTTTCAAGAGCCAGGGCCTGGTGCAGAGTGCATAGGCATACTGTTTATGGCTTCTTCAAAATCCAGTGGGGATAGGGTGACGTCTGATATATGATTTGATGTTGATATCATATCAATGAAAAATTCTTTTGGGTTATCAATCTTCAGTGTGTTTAGTGGCTCGCTGAAAACAGCGTCGTACTGCTTCCTCAGTAACTCGCTCATTTCTTTGTCATCATCGGTGAAAGTTCTATCAGGGGCCCGATACTAATGTGGTTTCTGATCTTTATTTTGTATAGGAGAAATATTTCGGATTTCTCTCTTTCACTGATGGCCTTTTGCTCTCTCTGCCTCTCCTGGGTTTTGTATGATTCTTGTAGCTTGAGTTCAATTGTTTCTATTTCTTTACCTAACCTTCTTCGCCGTTCTTGAGATTCGTTTTGTTCGCCTATAGAGGGAACGACGTTCCCGTTCCAATCTGCATCTCCCTCTTTTTTTCTTTGGGGTATGCGGTTGGAACATATTTCAAGTGCTACTGAGCTTATTTTTTCCAGGCACTGGTTCAGGTTTGCATTTTCTAGCTGTTCTTCCCAGCTTATTTCTGTGAAGTCCTGGTTTATTTGCTCCCAGTTTATCTGTTTATTATTGAAGTTGAATTTGCTGAAATCTCCTCCACCGGGAATCTGGACTGGTTTTGAAGGTCTATTCTCTATGCTTGTCATAACTTCAATTAAGTTGTGATCTGAGTAACAGGTATTTGTAATCATTATGTTCCTGATCAATTCATCATTATTGGTGAAAATGAGGTTCAGCGTGTTCTCCTTCCTAGTTGGTTCTACTATTTTCTGGTTTAAGGCAAACCTGTCCCACATCCGTAGCAGGTCATTTGCATGTGCCTGTTCATTTAGGCTACTTCCTGGTATTCTTTCTGATATTACTGTATTAGCCAGGTGCTTCCATTTTAGGTGCCGTAGGTTGAAGTCCCCAAGCAGGATGATGTTCGGAGCTGGATTTGTGAGGTTTTCCAAGCAGTGCTCTATTTTCATTAGTTGGTCTTTAAACTGCTGAGGGTTTGCCTCCGGTGACTTATATACAAGGACAACAACTACATTTAGGATCTCTATTTTGACTATCAGCACTTCCACCATATCATTTGTGGTGTTTAGCAGCTCGGCTCCACTGACGGGTGTACAAGTATAACAAGTATAAAGCACTTGTTTACCCTAATGCGTCTTTATTCACATGAAGTATTGTGAGTGGTAAGGAGGAGAGAGTACACCTGGGGGGGAGGGGGAAGGGGGGGTGAAGGGCCAGGGGGGGGGGGGGCGGGGCACATGTTTCCTGGTGACCGGAGTTATCATTAAGAGCGCAGTTGTTGTTTCGTATAAACTGGGCACCTTCACAGGCTCCACAGATAAGTTATCAGCGCTCCGGTGAGTATTGTGCTGCTGCTGCTGCCTTATCTGCGGGTGAAGGGGGGAGG